GATGCTGAAATTTAGGGTCCCCATTTAAATCTATAATACCTACTAAAATTCACATACTTTTTTACTAACAACACTAACTCTAAACCCTAACCTAACCCTAAAAAAAACCCCTAACGAAAAGGCCTGAAAATTTTTTAAAATTTCATAAAATAAATCAAAATTTCGGCATAATCCGATTTCAGCATCATCCCCGACAATAAATATGTATAATAAAAGGATGTAATTAAAAGAACTGATTACTAAAAATAGTGAGTGTTGTTTATTTAAGTATATGGGAAGAATTGGAGGCATACTCTTTAATAAAATTAATTTAATTTAAGCTTTCCAATCAAATTTTTATGCTATTAAAAGCACAACTTCATAGTACCGTTTAACTAATGTCAACATATTTATTGTTATACATAGCGTATCTTTTATCACCCGAACCTAGAAGATCACGAAAGACTAGTGCTTCATTTGACTCGTATGAAATTTTCCAGCGACCACCCACATAAATTTCATCAACATAAAGAACATCTAATAATGATTTATATGAAGTTAGTAAAATATTAAGAGCAAACCCAGTATATATTTATACTCGCCGGCTAACCATTCAGTAGAATATTTAAAAATAATATGTAAATTATAGAATATATTTAATTAATACTGTATTTACTGTATTATAAATTAATTTTTACCTCCTGATAAGATCGTATAATACATAGAGAATATAAATATGAATTATAAATTGTAAATACTAATTTATATGAATAAAAAGACGTTTACTCTTTTCATTAAGTCTCTTCTTAATAGGTCTAATAGGGGCGGCGATTGTCGATAAGGTAACAATTGTGAGGACTAAAACCAAGGTTATCAAATATTTAAAATTCATTTTACAACTTAAGGGATGGAACTAATAAAGTTATGTATCAGGTACAAAGTGAAATGAAACGTAAAAATGTATTAGGAATTATGGATGAAGCTAAAAAATCAGAGTTTAAATAGAGAGCTCAGAAGCAGATTTTCAGTTATGGTATAAGTAAGCTTTCGGCGGAACTCTTAAATAGAAGATACTCAAATTTGAGATCTAAAATCAAAATATTAAATTATTGATTATCTGTTTGAAACAAAGAAATGAAATGGTAAGGGATAATGTACAACTGATATAGCCATTTAAGAATCATATTACAAAAACAAAATAGAAACCCACCGATATGAATTTAATTATTTACACTAATAAAAAAAAAGGGTTCTTGAACGATTTCATTAATAAATTTTAAGCTCATATGATATATGAAAATTCTTGGAGTTCATATGTTAGTTGACACAACCCGTCATCGTTTGAACTAGCTGATTATTATGTTTGTTAACATTATAAATGTTATATAGAGCTACGTTGTTCATAACCGTTACATAATTTATGTAGTTATTAAAAATACAATAATGAATTAAAGGATTCTTTAATACTAGCCAGTTAAAATCCTTACCGATAGACGCTTAATACGTAACTCTAATTAAAACATTCGATTTTGATGAATTAGCTATATAAGTCTAGTATTATTTCTATTTTTATGTTTTAGATTTTTTTTGCATATTCCCTGCATAATTTTATTAGTTTAAATTTTCTTTTTTCTTTCGACAGACTTTTTAGAATCAGATTATTTTGATAATCACTGATCATAACGAAAAGTATAATGAAAAATACAAAAACTTATTGAAATTTTTACTATTGTACCAGGAGAACAATTACAATAAAAGGTTCAATTTAGCTCCAATAATTAACTTTAACTGATAAGTGTTACGAGATAATCGCTTTATATTGAACGTTAAAGTGCATTGTACATGATGTGCGATGAATAATTTAATCAGAATGAGGTAACAGGAGGAACAGTCGGTTCCTCCTGTTGAATGAGGTTGATCAATTAAAATGGTTAAAATCACAGTTACGTATTTAATTTAAGGAATAGCTTAATGAAGTTAGAGATGTAAATTAATAATAAGGGCACGGGTTGTGTAATGTAGGGTAATAATAACGAAATTCGAGAATAATAAGGATCGACGAAATTATCGGGACGTAATAAAACGTAAAATAATTTCTTTATTAACAACGAAAATTTTAATATCCAACACCTGAGAAATCGTTTCCTAATATTTTCCATTTATTTAAGACATCAAGTCTAAGAAAACTTTATTTAATAATTTGAAAAATTTTATAGATAATTTTATATATATTATAATAAGGCCGCACAAAATTATATACTTGGTTTTCATATCATGGGACAGGGATCAGTGACGCGGGCGCGCGGCTTTTTTTTTTATAGTAAAAAAAAAACGTCTTAAATAATACTAAATAAGTTGCTGCGCGACATTGTCGCGCCAATCAGGAACGGATGAATATAAACTTAGAAAATGTTGGACAACAATACAGAATAGTTATACTGTTGAACCTCCCCAAATCGATATGCATTGTGGGCAGATTTTGTATCAATATTGAGAGCTTATCAGATTTGAAAACATTATAAACTATTAGATCTATATAATGGAAACGGACTTGCTAGACTAATTTTCTTATCAGATTTGACAGGTTATCGGTTTTGAGAGGTTCGATTTTGGGAGGTTCAACAGTATATAAATACAGCAGAACTATATTGGTAAATTTTAAAAAAGAAATTTCATAAGATTTTACGATGTGTATAGTATAGAATCTCTTTAAAAAACATATCAACCATTATATGACGAAGAGTTTTGTAGACCAATTTCAGCCATTAAAGATTTTGAGCTGTTAACGCTTGTATGATTTCTTTAAATATAATATTGCTTTAAAGTCATTATTACTGTAGCTACCACTACAGTACTGTATCGATATTGCAATTCTTGAATGTGTGCCAGGTTGGTGGCGCATTAATCAGCCCATGTAATTTGCGCCAATTAAAATTCTAATAACAACAATAAAATTATAAGTTTTAATAGAACGAAAACACCACTTTTAAACATTATTTCTACTCAAATCAAATGTTCTTGTTATTTTCATTTCCCTTCATTTCTTTTCATAACCTTTAGCTTCCAATATTTTCGGTTTGATTCGAAAAACATTGGTTTTCTTTTACATTAATAATGTCTATAAGTTATAATTTTTACAGACCAGAACGATGATAACTCATCAAAGTTCTAATAATACGGTATAAAAATAAATATTGATCTTAAAAGTATGATAATAAATCTCAAATAAACACAAATATGTTAGCTAATAAACACGTACTATAGTTTATACTGTAATCTACGCTGAAACATATCTTAAAAAAAGAATAATAGTAGTGTTCTTATTCTTAAAGGGGTTTCACTTTATAAACCCAAATTTTATAAGCATTGTTATTAATCTAACCTACTTCCGAAATTACTGTAACGCACTCTTACTTACATCTTTTAAGTACGTTCAACTCTCTTTATAATAATGAACGAACTAAAAGTTTAAAGATTATAATAGTTCTGTATAGAGAGAATCGACTGTATTCGTATTCCTTTTATATATCTACATTCAAAGTACAGGCCGGTTGAAGAACACATGGTGGAAGTTAAAATAAATATTATGAACGTAACGTACTGTACATGCTGAAATAAAAGAGATTATTGCGGCTAATTAATGCGCCACCAACCAGGCACACATTCAAGAATTGCATCTACCACAGCTTGAGCCATGGCTCATGCTCTAGCCATGACATAAGTTGTGGTTTCAACAGTTATGGTTTAATCTGGAGTTATGACTTAAAGAAACCGATTCAGTAGCACTGATGCTGAGCCATAGTTAAAAGTTGCAACTCCAAGTTGTAGCTTAAGTTGTAACTCATCGAATTTTGTCGGATCAAATCTGAAGACTACCCGAAGAAAGTTGCAATACGTCCATATTTGATTAGTTCAATTCTGAATGAAGAAACATTTTTATAAATAATAGTCATTCACTTAAATGAAACAAAAACCTGTTAAAGCAATAAAAAATACAAGTTGAATGGAAAATTGGTTTTGTTGCTTGGGATCTTAGCAAGGAAAATCACCCTTCGGGATTTTTTGATCGGGCTAATTCGGAAAAGTTTAGACCAGAATGTCGGTTCTTATTCATCTTTTACTTTACTGATTTGGCAGTTTATTCAATAAACTATCAAATAAGCAAAAGGTGATTTACATATGAATAAGAATTGGCATTCTGGTCTAAACTTTCCGAACTAACCCGATTGGAAAATCCCAAAGGGTGATTTTCCTGGCAAAGATCCCACATATATATGTATATATAAATTTTCAATCCTCACTTTGTTGATACAGCAGTATATGAAAACCAATTATATAAATTTATGTGGCCTAACTATTTAAAAAACTTGGTTAAAATTTAATAAAAATTACTAATAAAAAATTATCTAACTATTAAGAAATAATATATAATAAGGTATTATAGTAATAGTGTATTTAATAAATAAAATTAATTAATAACAAGGGATCTTATTTAGTATAGGTGGGAATATATAAATATTATAAGATTATTTAATATAAAAAAACTCTAACCCTAACCCA